ACAGAAGATATTAGCCTACACACTTGGCTTTTGGAAAACCAGTGCTGGATCCCTCCCGCAAAATCTCCAGCATCCCCAGTGCTTCTTCCAGCGCTGAGCGAGTGTTTTCGGGCACAGCGAATGCTGAAGCCTGACACTTTGTCCAAGCTAATGTTTCTTAAAGTAAATTCTAAAATCCAGTAAACATCAAGAGACGTTTTAATAGACCAAAGTTCCCCGCAGTTATGGTTTATTTTAACTTGACGCTAGAAAGTGTTTCTTTCATTGACATCAGTTCATAAACCAAGCGTTCTTTAAGTGCATTTTATCTTGCGTGTGCTTTTCACAGGCTTTATGATCCAGGTGTATTTTGTAACGATCTACACACATTTCATCTCGTGTGTGTGTGTGTGCATTTGTGTTTTAATGAGCCTGTTTTGAATGTTCTATTGCACAACAACTGCAGCTATTTTCACGGAAATAAAGTTAACGAAAATCAAATACACTTTTTCAGTTTTTGCATTTTAGGTAGGTTTGCTAAGGTTAGATTCATATATTTAATACATTTTAATTAATACATTACAATTAATAAAATTAAGAAGAATGTAAGAATTTCGCTCTGAAACATGATAATTGCTATTTATCAGCATGCTTAATTTTAGAAAATAATCCAAGAATTTTGTTACAAACAGTAAACAATTAGGCCTACTAGAGAAATCTGAGCGGGATCTGAGTGGGAATTGGTTCACGGTGAGCGTGAGCAGAATATTAACGGAGCGCTTGCTTGGGCGGTTAGAGCGACTGAGCGGAGCGCACGTCCATGGAGCGGAAACCGTAGTGGAGCGTCACACCACTCCGCTTCGCTCACATGCTCTGCTCCTCTGCGGCTCAGACTGTACGACATTCATATTACATGATTTGACTGATTTTTACGTAGAAAGGGTGACCGCACACTGCATTAAAATAAATGATCATTCATGTTTTCATAAACGCTGGCCAAATTCAAAAACGACACTTAAATTAAATCATCTTTGAGAGCAAGGGGGCTCCCTGGCGTTTCGGGGGCCCTACGCAGCTTGTGTATTTTGCGCTTAAAGAGGATCGGCTCTGCTTATACCACCTGACCACTGCAGATTCATTTTGGCGTTGATAGCGGTGCCATAGAAACACATAATTTCCAGTCCAAGGACATAAACAGTTCTGAATATAACATCACGTGTTGTCACCTCGAGATTATGGAAATTATGCGGTGGCATGAATGCAGCATTAGCATGCTGATAAAATGCACATGAATTTCATGAATATTGTTCACATGAATCAGCATGTTGCTAACATGATTTTGCACATTGCTAACATGATTGAGCATGAATCGGCATGCTGTTAGTATGTGTTCACGTTTCTAGCATGATTTAATATGTTGATAGCACATTGATAGCATGAATTAGCATGTTGCTAGTGTAACGAACATAGGCCGGTAAGAGCTGTGTGTTTAAACCTCATTCCCCTGATCTCAAGAGGCACTAATGCGAGAGACTGTGGTCTTTAGCCTCCTTGTTAGAGCGCCTGACTCCCATGCAGATGGGCCCAGGTTCGAGTCCCACTTGCAGTGGGTGGTTTGATTCAGATGGGCTAGACTAGCATGTTTAAGTGTGCAACTTCCATAATTAAACGTTGAAGTGAAACATGATATTCAATGAGAAAAGGATAGACTTTCAACTGAACCATAATTATTTTGTGTTCCAGGATGTCCAGTACACCGATATCGACTACATGGAGGACAAAAAGATCTTCACCTATGATATGGAGAAATTTAAGGAGCTGCCTCAGTTTGCTGACTACATGCACGGGAATGGGCAGAAATACATCGTCATATTGGTGAGCCTTTGATATTCATGCTGAAGTGCACAGTTTTATGGGTTGGCAAGTTTTGAGTCCTGCAATTCAACACCTTGAGACCCTCAAAACATTTTCTTCCTGGTAGGATCCTGCCGTGTCCACAGGTAAAAGGCTAAATGGACCATATGAAGCACTTGATCGGGGACATGCAGCTAAAGTTTGGGTCACTGAACCAGATGGGAACACGCCTCTAATAGGAGAGGTAAGATCCTCCAAAGATACTCCTAATGGTGACATTATTATGGTTAAATATCAGTAGGATTTGGGATTGAGAACTGGTGGTTCTTCTTCATAAAAATAACTGAACTTGAATGATTTCCATGATGCTTGGTTTTAGTAATTGTTGTTTTTTTTACACTGATGTGGACACAGAAAATTGTATTGCATTGTCCTCGCTGGTTGAAATTCACAGTGTGAACAGGGTCTGATCTAGGAACAAAATACTTATTGTAAAACGTAACTCTCACACGTCACAGGTCTGGCCAGGGGAAACCGTGTTTCCTGACTACACTAACCAGGCTTGCGTTGATTGGTGGGTTGATGAAATTTCACGTTTCCACAAAGAAGTCAAGCATGATGCTCTCTGGATTGTGAGTGACCCACAGAGATGAGCCTGATAATTTTGAACAGATCTTCCAAATCAATACTGCAAATGTCACTGCATCAATATGTATAAGCTCAATAAACATCTCATCTAGAGTACAATATACACCACAAAAGCTTTAAAACTTTTTTTCCCCTAAGGACATGAATGAGGTGGCCAATTTCGTACAGGGAAGCAGCAAAGGCTGCGCTGAGAACAAACTCAACTATCCTCCATTCACTCCACGTGAGTCTGAAATGCATCTACAGCAGGATTTATTCATTGCAGATGCATAAACATCCATCCTCTTAATTTCCATTTGACTCTATAGGTATCCTTGATAACCTGATATACAGTAAGACCTTATGTATGGATGCTAAACACAAATGGGGGAACCACTATGATGTCCACAGTCTCTATGGGTACTCGATGGTCCTGGCCACTGAGAAGTACGTGTTGGTATTTCCACACATGCAAATAAACGTGATTTACGTTTCGAGTCTTGTCAGAATAATTCACACGAACTGACATTACAACAATGTGGTATTTACAAGTGGATAGCCAAATCATTTGTTGCTCAACACCCTTCTCTCAATCAGTTTAACTATGCTTTCTTAGGCCACTCTTGACTCTTTCTAACACTCTCCTGGATGTCATTTTATTGTGGTGCCAGTGCTCCCTATACCTCTAATATTATGTTTCTGCTTCAAGGGCATCGAGAGAAGTGTTTAAGACAAACCGTTCCATGGTTTTTACCCGTTCCTCCTTCCCTGGGGTGGGCAAGTACGCTGGGCACTGGTTGGGTGACAATGCCGCCAACTGGAATGACATTAAGTGGGCGATACCCGGCATGCTGGAGTTTAACCTCTTCGGAGTCCCTTACGTAAGTGGTTTGACTCCAAATTAAATGTCTTTTCCGACATTGGTAATGGATGGTAGACACCAGCTTTTCTTCATAACACAACAGCCCCACTGAGAGGCATTTAGAGAAAGACTTTGGCTATGATCGAGTTCCATTGAGAAACTTAATGGGCATTTGGACTCAATCGACTCAGCTGTCAGACATAATGACAGTTTCAACCGATTTTTAGCCTTATAGTCCTCTGCACACACACACTAAATGATTTGACCAGACCATATGACCACACACATGTTAACTGTAGGAAGCATAGATATGTATAGGTTGATTCCTCGTGAGAAACTGTTTCTATGAGCCGTTATACATAAGTCGTCTGCCATATTGCAATGGTCTGTGAACCCTCAAGCGCAAGTTGACTTGTGCAGTATTGTGGCATCTTCAAATACTCATTGATTGTTACAGTGAGTGACGTGTAGGGTTTTTATTATTAGCTCTAAAAAGGGAAATATACAGTGGGTACGGAAAGTATTCAGACCCCCTTAAATTTTTCACTCTTTGTTATATTGCATCCATTTGCTAAAATCATTTAAGTTAACTTTTTTTCCTCAATGTACACACAGCACCCCATATTGACAGAAAAACACAGAATTGTTGACATTTTTGCAGATTTATTAAAAAAGAAAAACTGAAATATCACATGGTCCTAAGTATTCAGACCCTTTGCTGTGACACTCATATATTTAACTCGGGTGCTGTCCATTTCTTCTGATCATCCTTGAGATGGTTCTACACCTTCATTTGAGTCCAGCTGTGTTTGATTATACTGATTGGACTTGATTAGGAAAGCCACACACCTGTCTATATAAGACCTTACAGCTCACAGTGCATGTCAGAGCAAATGAGAATCATGAGGTCAAAGGAACTGCCTGAAGAGCTCAGAGACAGAATTGTGGCAAGGCACAGATCTGGCCAAGGTTACAAAAAAAATTCTGCTGCACTTAAGGTTCCCAAGAGCACAGTGGCCTCCATAATCCTTAAATGGAAGACGTTTGGGACGACCAGAACCCTTCCTAGAGCTGGCCGTCCGGCCAAACTGAGCTATCGGGGGAGAAGAGCCTTGGTGAGAGAGGTAAAGAAGAACCCAAAGATCACTGTGGCTGAGCTCCAGAGATGCAGTCGGGAGATGGGAGAAAGTTGTAGAAAGTCAACCACCACGGCAGCCCTCCACCAGTCGGGGCTTTATGGCAGAGGGGCCCGACGGAAGCCTCTCCTCAGTGCAAGACACATGAAAGCCCGCATGGAGGACTCCAAGATGGTGAGAAATAAGATTATCTGGTCGTATGAGTCCAAGATAGAACTTTTTGGCCTTAATTCTAAGCGGTATGTGTGGAGAAAACCAGGCACTGCTCATCACCTGTCCAATACAGTCCCAACAGTGAAGCATGATGGTGGCAGCATCATGCTGTGGGGGTGTTTTTCAGCTGCAGGAACAGGACGACTGGTTGCAATCGAGGGAAAGATAAATGC